TCATGGGTATCTCATGTTTATCTGCTGTACCTAATGAAGAAATGCTGTGTCTGGTATTCCTTAAAGTATAATTATACATAATTCATGGAAACAGCTGCTATTGGAAGCAAGTCTGCTTCTCCAGTAGTGTGATGTACGCAGGGCAATGCTTATTTACTGTTATCTAAACCTGATTTTAACAGTAGCACATCTATATAATTCTGAGCTCAGAGGAGTATATCCTGACTAGGCGTTGATCCAGGCATCATAATGCTTCATAGGCAAAAATCAAGGTCAAGTCATTTTCACTCCAGAGAGCTGTCCCTATATAATTGAGCTCTTGGCCTCAAGATGCGTTTCTCTCTTCTCCAGAATTGTTCTGTATCATTTGGATTTGATCAGGTTGCCTCTTTCCTGCCAAAATACTTAATGTCAAAACTTTTGGAGGTTCCTGTGAATTATTAGTGCACAATGCCACATAAGTCCTTTTTACTAGGTCAGTAGTAACAACCTCTCAACACTGCAAAATTTCTTATTGTGCTGAATGCATGTGGGGTAGATCTTTCTTTTCAGTGATAGTATATGAAGCTTTATATATGATTGCAAAAATTAGGCTATTCCTAGTATACCAGAAGTGGGTATTAAGTGTTTCCCACCATTTTCCAAGCACAAATACTGGTATTGATCATAATGCTCATAACTAGGTAAGAAATAAGATGAGACAGCTCATCAAAGTAATTCCTTTTGTTTTCCATCCAGAGACAACTCGTCTCTGTCTAATTTGTCCTGTTCCATGTAACAGACTTTATTCCATGTTGTCCCCCACATGCATATAGTCAGGGGGGAAGTAGGGGGGTTGTTCATGGAAATACATTCATATTCAGTGGAAAACAAATCATATGTGGGAAACAGGATGAAAAAAAATATCCAGATGCAATTACAGAAGCCCTAACAATGACAAATACTTCAAATGCGTATAGGTCAGATCACAATAATCATTCTAAATTGCTTTAGATACTTTTATTCTTTTTCTTTTTGTCTCATTTCAAAAGCAATGTAGTAACTGGAGCTAGAAAAGAGTGTCCATTCCCAGAAATATTGAGCCAAGTCTGTTACTTTTTCTGGCTATCTATGCCTGCCAAATGTGGTTCATGTTATTACTTTGAAATGCTAACAGTCTTAAAGAGCAGGACACCAGCTGCTGAAGCTTTCAGATCCCCAAACAGGAACTGTAGGCTTATTACAGTGAACTATAAATACACTTGCAATATTTATCAAGTAAAAAAACATTGTTTGGAGATAAGATCAGGTTCAATACATTTCAAACTGCTATCTACTCTAGCTTCCTGTGCTGTCATTTTTTCAAAGTAACAACACTCAGAACTCAATAGGATATTTTTTGTTTCTTGACCAATCCTAGATTGTCAAAACTATCGTCTCAGATATACTATGATGTTACAGCACATTAACAAGTTATTCTAAACCAGCTGAGGTGTAGTAACTACTTATTGTTGTATTTTGAGTTTCTTACAAATGTCCTCACATATTTCATCTTACTGAATTGTGATAAATCCGATATGTTACATCGCTATGGGCTAAAATCATATGCATGCAAAGTTATCATAGAACTCAGCTGATACAGGGTAATGTGGTAAGCAGGCTTAACCTGATCATGTAGCTGAGCTTATTTTCTGGGCAAGGATAAAAATATGCTCTGCTCTTTCTATTTGCAGATGTGCATGTATTTGTTATTTCTTAGCTGGGAATTAAATCATTTTATGCTCTAAGGAACACGGTACCATTTCAGCAGTCCTGCATTATTTTCAGAAGGAACTTAACCGGCCAAAGGAAAGATAGAATCCTCTCAGAAATGCAGCTGTGGGAGCATGGGAGAGTCCAGATGGAAGCAGTACATCCCATCTGAAAGATCTGAAAGATGTAAATGAGGCTATATTTGCCTCAAGTGTCCAAGTACATGCAAATAAAGCTGTTTCATGTTGGTGCTTGAATACTGTAATAGATTATGTGAAAGACTTAATATGCCAAAACCAAGCCTTTCGTGAATCAGCTTTTCCAGATGCAAAGTACTGGAGATACCTGTGCAAGTGGACATAAAAAGTATTGCATTTTGCAGCTTCCTTTTGGTATTAATTTTTATATATACGTTCCTCAGTAACAAATATTATAGTGATATGTAAATTATAATGGTCTGGCCATATTGTGTCTTACAAAATGTCAAATGCAGTATTAGAATCAAATTACTCAGTAACGCAAAGAAAACATTAAGAGAAACCAAGCAGCAAACTTAGTTATTTATACTACTTAGTATAATTTTGCAGCAATTTTAGTGATCTTTTATTTAGTTTAGTCTTCGGTATAGGAGAAAGAAACTGTCATTTCTTGATTTCTGTGGTATGTTCTTCTCAAATCATTGGATTGTTGGGCTGGATTTAGGAGTTAGCATGAAGAATCCTTTTCCTGCCTATCTATCTATCTATCTATCTATCTATCTATCTATCTGTCTATCTCAGCTGTTCCCACCAGATAGAAAAAGGAAATTAAAGGAAGGAAAGAAGGTATGGGAATAGAATTAAGATCTTTGAATCTATAGACCAGATAACTTTTGTGCCATCACACTTCATCCTGCCATCTGCAGTCTAAGCTGCCGTAAGCAGAACATGTCTGTAGCAGACAGACTATAAAACATAGTAAGCCAAATTCCTTTTTATGCAGTGTGACATAGACCTTATTATAGATACAATAATGTGACTTAGTCCCCAGCAGTCTGATTTGCCATGTACACAGCTGGTTTAAAATTAGAGAGCTGTCTGTAACCAGTTAATCACTTTTACAATAGTAAAGGTGTTTAACTTTCTCAACATATTGCCTCGTTCCGAGCAGGGGTTTCAACTTTGTTCAAAGGAAAATATGATCAGCTGAAGAGACCATAATAGGATGGCAGCTCTAAAATACAGCCCAGGCTTTCATAAGCATTTCTTCTGGTTTACTTATATGTAGATGCTTTGCATCTGAATGTTTTCCAAAGAATATGCACTGTAGGCACTTGCTATCCATTTTTTGCTAATTTGGAAAAATGTTTCCGTGTTAGGCTTTGCTCCTTTAAAAAAGCATAAGCCTCCTTCTGGATGGACAACCCCCCACTAGCTGCAAAGTTTCTTTACCCAGAAGATCGAGAAAAATCCACGCTTTAAATTGAAAAATATCTAGAGAAATCAGCCAAAATAATACCAGACAGTATGCTGAAATTCTGATAAAACCACTCATCATTGTTCCTCTCTACTGACCTGTGCTTCCCCCAGCATTAAACAAAATAAGTTATCATCGAGAACACAGAACTTGAGATCCAATTTACTCACGGCTTACATACGTGCTTGAACTTTCTTACCTTATTCCATGAACATGGGCCATATTATTAGGAAATATAGTGGGATGCTGTCTGAATTCAAATGCTAAATATGGGGGTTTTTTTCCTCCTCTCTTGATTCTAAAAATCCTGATCTTTGTTTTTTTTTTGTTGTTTGTTTTTGGTTTTTTGATTTACAGCCTCATCTACCAAGACAACTTATGTCAGTTACAGCAATCAGGCAAACTGAGCAGGGATGAAATTCACTGGAAGACCTGCAGGATGGAATCTTGCAAACATAGACTTTACCACCACCAGAATTCAGTCTTGGAAATATCAGAAGACTACACTGAAATCAATAGTCAGTCTTCTAAAGGCCAAGGATTAAACAAGAGTCAAAAGGCAAAAAGAGACAGGGGAAGGAAAGTCCAGTTTTATAACATAGAGACAGCGTCAAGCTTCTGAACTGTTCACTCACAAAAGGAAGCAAATCACAAAAGGAAAACAAATGTTAGCTCATGAAAAAAAATGCTGTTGAAATAAATCATGTCTGATGTTATATTTGTAAGTACTTTTTTGTGATTGTGACAATTTCCTTTCCTGTCCTACATTGTTCAACTTGTAAAAGAAGATGAGTTTGTTTCTGTGACGGCTGACTGAATTAAGTCCTGGGTTATGCTAAAATAAATGCAACGGTCAACGCATGCTAATTTTTATACAAAATAATTTATTTATAATAATAAAGGAATGTTTTGCAAATGTTGAGACTTGTTTTGTTGCAGTTTTAAGGAAAAAAAGTCCTTACACTGTTGTCTATTGTTTGTTTAGAATGTGCAGTAAAGGTGAGTGTTCAAATAAAATAATAATCATGGCATCAGAAGAATGCAGTGTAAACTCTAAGCATGTGTGTGTGTGTATGTGTGCACATGTGTGTGTATGTATGTGCATGCCTGCATGCATGTGTGTGTGTGTACTCTGCAGTGTGTGAATTTATTTGTTCAAAGCTTTGTGACTATTTTTTCTACTGGAAGGATTTTTTTCTCCCTTTTCACCCTCAAAGTAAGCACATTTTATATGTTTGTAAAGTGAAGGAGTCCTGATGGTAATTATTTTGTATGATTGTACTATATTTTTGAATCTCCACTAATAATTTTGATCCTTTTCATTTCTGGAACTTACATCTTGTAAGACTTTATGACAGTTAGACTGGATTAAGCTGAAAGTCTATTCAGCCTGGTATCCTGTCTCTGACAGGGGAATGTAGCAGATGCTTATCTCAATAAAGGTGACTTTGAAATAACAGGAGAGAAATCAGTGGAAATTTAGAAAGCAGTAACCTAGTGGATATATGTACTATTGCCTTCAAAACACAAAAATCAAAGAAATAAATGTCCGTCTACAATCATTGCATCTTCTAACTCCCATGTCAAATGATTGTGTGTGTGTTAGAAATGATTATGCAAAGAGAGAGAAAATCATGTAGACATCTATCATGCTAATAAACCCCTCCAAAGTAGTTTAAAAAAAGAGTTAGGGACTTTCCACTTTGTTACTATGCCTGTGGTGTTCTTTAAGACTTTTTTGTCCCATACACTACTTACCATTCACTGAGTCAATGAGGCTTCACAATCAGTTACTTATTAAATGTTATTTCACCTGAATTAGCGTTACAGCTCCTTTGTCAAAGTAGCTGTATTTTTACAACATATCTTAATGAAGATGTGGTGTATTACATGAATGAAAGTTGAAGTATCTGAAACTGAATCTCTTTCTGTTACAATGTCAATATTTAAACTCCAGCATCGTCATCAAGCTGCATGACAGTGCATTTCCATTTTCAAAATATTTCAAAACATAGGTTTTTTTTCCCCAGCATTTAAATGCCTGAATTATTAACTGATGATTGCTTTGATAGAGCGTAGTATTGTGTGTATGTACATGTGATATATTGTGTGAAAATTCATTTTTTGACTATGCCACAAGCACATCAATCCTGTACCTATAAACTAATATATACTAAATTTAAGCTTATGAGCAATGCAGCTAGAGCAATGAAACCTGAAAAAAAAAAATTGTTTTAGTTCAGCCTTGTAACCTAGTATCTCATCAAATTGAAGTATTTTTGTGAAAATGGTTTGATTAGATCAATGTTTGAAGAACACAAACTTCCATGTGTAGAATGTATTTCCTAAAAAAGAAAGGGAAAGAATCTGTTTTGTTTGAAAACCAGTGTTTTGGCACAGTTTCTTTTAAGAAACCTTTGAAAAGTTCCACTTTCAATCCACCAAAAAAAAAAAAAAAAGAATTTTCAAATGTTTTGTCTGCAATATCTATATATCGCAATATAAGCATAAATGCATGCATTTGAAAAAGCAATGAATCTGAATTTCCTATAAAACACATTTCACATACACATAAACATATTTTATATGCACATAAAGATTAGTATATGATATATTAATATCTTCCAGTTTCACATCAGTCCAAAGAAAATGTTACTCTGAACAGATTTACTGAGATGAATTTACACATTTTTGGGTTGAACAGTAGGGTAAAAATGGAATGCAAATTATTCTATGCATTTTCTATGTCATTCTGTTTGAAACATGAAGTATATTAAGCCTAAGTGTCTCACTGGTATTAATGTAACTCATCAGATAAATGAGAACACAGTACAAATTACAGAATGAACTAGGTGTCTTCAAAATACAACAGAACAGCACTGGTCTACAGGTATCACTTCTATAGAGTAGTTACGTGCAGTTTATATATTTGCATTGACTGGTGAATATATATCTATCACCTGTAACTGTGATCAGTATCCCTCTAGAGCTATGGAAGAACAACTCATTTTATTTCTGAATGAGATGTTGGCTTTGTTGTCTTCGGCTTAGGAGACTTTTTCCTGCACAGACAGCAGTTCCAAAGAGATTTTTTTCTAGCAACCTGATTTATGAGCTCAGCTTCCAAGACTGCGTCTTCAGGTGACTTTGAGTCCCATTTGTGCAATACATTGTGTGTAAGTTCTGCAAGTCCTTACTTCGAGGTTAGGTGATGTAAATATTGTGACTCTACCTGACCTCTATTTGGGGGATTATTGACTAAGAGACTGCACTCCACAGCCTCTAAGACTGGTGTACCTTTTTCAGCATTGTTATCGAACACAGAGTTCAGAAGAAGGAATTAAGTATTCTTCAATGATTGATTCTAACTAGGTCGAGCAGTCTTTCTGTATTTTTCAGTTTACTGGGTCTTTGTATTTGGTTTAGCTATTATAATAAAAGACAAGCTCTTGGGGAAAGAACTACTATAAAGAACCAGAGAATCATGTAATACGAAGCAAGGAAAAATTGTTATAATTTTGCAACATAGGTATAAAATAGAATGAACATCAGAAAAATTGCTTCCACTGTTCTTTATTTTATTACAAGGTCCATTTTTATGAGAAGATTGGGGAAGTTCAGACAGCAATAAGAAGAGAAATCCCCACAGAGTCTGTCTTTATTGTGCCTTTGAATACTGATACAGATGCTGCATTTTTCTTTCTCTCTCTCTGAAATAGTCATCACTTAATTTTACTATACAGAAAACTCAATGGGTTTTTTTATTTTGTTTTGGTTTTGTTTTAACGACCTCTTTTTCTGTCTTATTCTGCTCTTTATCTTCTAGCATTGACATTCATGAAGCTACAGGTATATCATTATCAACATATCCATTATGAATTATATTATCTAACACACACAAAGATTCTTCAGGTTGACACTTGACATATATTGTCTTAGTGCACATGCAAAAGAATGTAAATGGAATAACAGGCTTATTTAGGTAAGTTAAAATGAAAAACTTAAAATCAAAATAAAGTCCTGAGGCAGATGTAATAAAAAGGTGGTAACAACTTAAAAACTGAGATTTGGCCAATGATAATAATACAGTATGTTCTACCTATGTACCGTACAGTTAGAAAAAATACAGAAAAAAGTGTAGGAAAGAACTATACAAAAATATAAATGTTCAGTATCCATTTTCACATACGTTTTCATTCTCTTCCCTTCAAAAAATATTTTGAGGGCCCATGGCCCTAATATAAAAACCATTTAAGTTAATTAAGGTCTTACCTTTAATGCAGCAAATTTGAGATCAGTATCAGATGATTTATCATTAACTTACACTATAGCTTTTTTAAACTATTAGCTTTTGAATAAATGGCTGTCACTGAAAGCTACATTGCTTATATATAAATTTTAAACTGTATTTTAACGGCTGATTATAATCCTTACGGTGCTTTATGCACACAAGTACTTCTGGTGTGTAAAGCATTCACATGATTATAAAAAATTCTTTGCAAATTAGGGTTTATGAATTAGATGGTGTTACGGGACTGCTAAGTCCCAGCTATCTGTTGGCCCAACTTTGAGACATAAGACACTCTTAAATCACCTAGTCTTCTCTGGTATCTGGAAGCATCCAGCAACTAGAGCTACAGAGGATCGTTCTAACCTGATGAACTAAATCAATGTTGTTGAGGGAAAAATAACCAAGTAGTGAAATCATTAGAGGAATATAGGCCATGATAGATAATTCTCTTTAGGACCGATTGAAGTTAAACACCTTGGTACCTAAAAGGATTTAGATCTCAGACCTTTCAATTTATAAAGAAGGAATGAGTGAAGGTCTTGAACTGACTTGCAAATTTAGTTCTCCAAACTTTCGTTGCCTTACTTCACAAATGTGAGCAGCTCATTGTAAAAAAATTAATAAACATACAAATCAAAGCCTGGGTTGGTGTCTCAAGCTTGCAGGCAGGTGACAGGGTGAGATTCCCTGTCAATGGCAGTGTCTTCTAATAGTGACAACTATATGTCACAACATATAAATCTAGTGCATATTACGTTTAGTATACTTGGCCAAGATTTGTTCTCTCCTATCAAACATGCACTTCCAGAGACCCCAAAGACATACTGTGTACTAAAGATTTGGTCCAAAGCCAAGTGAAGTTCACAGGAGTCTTAGTAGACTTAGAACCACCAGAGGGACTGGATGATTCTGCTTATTTATAGTCCACACTGTAACCTGAAACCATGCAATGACTTATAAATCAGATGGGCAATACATAGTGTCAAAGTACATTCCAATCTAATTTTTATCCAGAAGAAACAACCATGGTTATGAATGAGGTCCCAATGCCAAGACCAAAAGATTCATGCCAAAAGCACAGTAACAGAAATATTATATTCATGAATGCCTGCAGGG